GGTGGCCATGGGGGCAACCTCCAACCACATAACTGGTGCTCATAGTCATGGTGGACAACTCATGGCTACAGGTATCTGGTACTTGGGGCCACAGTGGGCCACTGATGGCCACGAGTATCTGGTGCTGGTGGTCATGGGGGCAACCTGCAGCCATACACCTGTTGCTTGTGGCCATGGGGGCAACCTCCAACCACATATCTGGTGCTGGTGGCCATGGTGGGTCACTCGTGGCCACAGGGATCTGGTGCTGGTGGCCATGGGGGCAACCTCCAACCGCATATCTGGTGCTGGTGGCCATGGTGGGCGACTCATGGCCATGGGTGTCTGATGCTGGTGGCCACGGTGGCAACCTGCAACCACACGTCTGGTGCTGACAGGCAACCCATGTCCAGCTCTGGAAGACTTATGTTGAGGTCTGGAGGACACACGTGTCCAGATCTGGAGAACATGTGTCCATGTCTGGAGGACACGTGTGTCCATGTCTGGAGAACACATGTCCAGATCTGGAGGACGTGTATGTCCAGGTCTGGAGGACACGTGTCCGGGTTTGGAGGACACGTGTGTCCAGGTCTGGAGAATATGTGTCCAGGTCTGGAGGACATGTGTGTTCATGTCTGGAGAACACATGTCCAGGTCTGGAGGACGTGTATGTCCAGGTCTGGAGGACACGTGTCCAGGTCTGGAGGACATATGTGTCCAGGTCTGGAGAACACACGTCCACATCTGTAAGCCACGTATGTCCACAGCAGCACAACACACGTGTCTGAGCCTGGAGGACCCCCACGTGCAGCACAGGAAGCCGTGGTTGGTGACCCACCACCACCTATGTCCAACCTGGTGGCCACGGTTGGCGTGTCACCACCACGCGTGTCCACCTCTGGAGGCCACGGCCACCACCCCGCGGTCCCAAGTGTCATCCCACCACCACCACCACCACCACCATGAGACCACCCCACGGCCCCACCACCGCGTGGTGGTGACACCCCACGGGGCAGTCGGGGTTATGTGACCCGGGAGTGAAGTAGGGAGATGGCACCTCCCGGGAGCGCGTGGGCGCCCTAATTGGCATTAATTAAGAGCTCGCTAATGAGGCGGCTGCTAACGAGGCCCCCCCCATCGCCACCGCCGCTGCCACCACCACCACCACCACCACCACCAGAACCAGTTGGGCCCCTCCCGAGAAGCCGCACCGCCCCTGTTTACACCACCTCCAGCTGGTGGGACCGGGTGGGATGGCCCCAGAAGAAGGAGGGGGTGGTAAGCCCCGCCCCTCCCGCCGCTTGGCCACGCCCCCCACTCCCAGAAGCTCCACCCCATGCCACGTGTAAGGGACACGGAGGGACGGCGCCCCCTGGCGCCGGTGTGCGTGACACGGGTGTGCGCGGGGGCGGGTGGCCCCGGGTGGACAAACGGCCGGTGGGGACGTGGGGACGTGTGGTGGGGACATGTGTCATGGACGTGTGGACATGTGGACACGTGTTACGGACGTGTGGACGTGTGTTGTGGACATGTGAACATGTGTCATGGACGTGTGGACATGTGTTATGGACATGTGGACAAGTGTCATGGACGTGTGGACATGTGGACACGTGTTATGGACGTGTGGATGTGTGTTGTGGACATGTGAACATGTGTCATGGACGTATGGACATGTGTTATGGACATGTGGACATGTGTCATGGATGTGTGGACATGTGGACACGTGTTATGGACGTGTGGACGTGTGTTGTGGACATGTGAACATGTGTCATGGACGTATGGACATGTGTTATGGACATGTGGACATGTGTCATGGACGTGTGGACATGTGGACACGTGTTATGGACGTGTGGACGTGTGTTGTGGACATGTGAACATGTGTCATGGACGTGTGGACATGTGTTATGGACATGTGGACAAGTGTCATGGACGTGTGGACATGTGTTGTGGACATGTGGACATGTCTCATGGACGTGTGGACATGTGGACATGTGTTATGGACGTGTGGATGTGTGTTGTGGACACGTGGACAAGTTTGGTGGACATCTGGACCTGTGGACATGTGTTGTGAACATGTGGACATGTGTTACGGACACATGTCATGGACGTGTGGATGTGTGTTGTGGACACACGGACATGTATTGTGGACATGAGGATGTGTGGACACGTGTTGTGGACATGTGGACATCTGTTGTGGACGTGTGGATGTGTGTTGTGGACATGTGGACATGTGTCATGGACGTGTGGACATGTGTTGTGGACATGTGTCACGGATGTGTGGACATGTGGACATGTGTTGTGGATGTGTGGACGCGTGGACATGTGTTGTGAACACGCAGACGTGTCATGGATGTGAGGACGTGTGTCATGGACATGTGGGCACGTGGATGTGTGTTGTGGACATGTCATGGACATGTCATGGACATGTGGACATGTGTCGTGGACATGTGGACATGTGGACACATGTCATGGATGTGCGGATGTGTGTTGTGGACATGTGGACGTGTGTTGTGGATGTGTGGACATTGTCATGGAGGTAGATGTGTATCATGGAGGTGTGTGATGGACATGTAGACATGTGTCATGGATGTGTGGACGTGTGTCCTGGACGTGTGGACATGTGTTGTGGACGTGTGGACACGTGTTGTGGACGTGTGGAGGTGTGTCATGGACGTGTGTTGTGAATGTGCAGGTGCGTGTTGTGGACACGTGGACCTGTGTCGTGGCCATGTGTCATGGACGCATGGACACGTGTCGTGGGCGTGTGGAGGTGCCTCATCACGCGTGTGCAGGCGTGTGTCGACCCCGGTCACACAGACGCACCACGAAAGCGCTGGAGAACCACGGGCCACAGCTTCAGGCTTCTGCTCCGGCCCTCCAAGATGGCCGACCAAGCCATGAGGGAGGGTCTCCAAAGGTGGTTGGCCAATCAGATGGTCTCCACAGCTGGCCAGCCAATCAGCATGGGCTGATAGCATCATTTGGTTGACCAGCACATGGTGGTCTCCAAACTGGTTGGCCACCAGCAGGTGGTGATCTCCAAACTGGTTGGCCACCAGCACATGGTGGTCTCCAAACTGGTTGGCCACCAGCAGGTGGTGATCTCCAGACTGGTTGGCCACCTGCACATGGTGGTCTCCAAAACTGGTTGGCCACCACCACATGGTGGTCTCCAAACTGGTTGGCCACCAGCAGGTGGTGATCTCCAGACTGGTTGGCCACCTGCACATGGTGGTCTCCAAAACTGGTTGGCCACCACCACATGGTGGTCTCCAAACTGGTTGGCCACCAGCAGGTGGTGGTCTCTGAAGCTGGTTGGCCACCAGCAGGTGGTGGTCTCTGAAGCTGGTTGGCCACCAGCAGGTGGTGGTCTCCAAACTGGTTGGCAACCACCATGTTGTGGTCTTTAAACTGGTTGGCCACCAGCAGGTGCTGGTCTCCAGAGCTGGTTGGCCAACCAGCAGGAGGTGGTCTCCAAACTGGGTGGCCAATGGGACTCCTTGGCTGGCCAAAGCAGCCGGCCCATA